AATGGAGCAAAAAATGGAAGATGAAATTGTGAAGGATTGCATGGTAGAGTGGGCTCAAAATATAGGACATAATGTAGAATTAAGGGCCTGGTCACAAATTTGGGAATGAAATATTAAAATGACTAAATCTATAAATCTAAAAGGAAATATTTATAAAATGTTTTATAGATAGTATGTAACACTAGAGAAATTAACAAAAATGTATAAAAATGTTTCTAACAAGTGCTGGAAATGTGAAAAGAAAGTAGGGAGCTTCTATCACATGTGGTGGACGTGTAATAAGGCCAAGGAATTTTGGAAAATGATTCATGAAATAATAGAGATTATTTTAGGGGTTAAAATTGCTTTGACACCTGAAAGCTTCCTACTGAATATATTAGCACCTGTACTCGGAAAAAAAAACCAAGACCTTCTTGACCTTACACCTGATAACAGCAGCTAGAATTGTATATGCCAATAAGTGGAAGATTACAAAGGTGACGACAAAGAAGGAATTCACTGAAAAGATTTTGGAACTAGCAGAAATGGATATTTTGACAGATACATTAAATGACAGATTGGATAAAAATAAATGGGAACCTCTTTATACCTGGATGAAATCTACATCAACTTAAGTAGAATAGATTAGATCAATACTATGTTAGAGAGTATAAGATACCGTAAGATTAAATGAATGGAATATAATGTAATAAATCACTCTGGTTGCAATGAATCGAAAAGCAGAAAAAATACAATAAATTTTCAAAAATTTTTAAAAAGCAGAATGTAAGAATAGCTGGAATCTTCTCTTACATCTCTCTAACTTCATTCTCTCCTCCTTCCTCCAGTTCTTAAACCTCTGGGTTTTGCCCTAGTGCTTTCAAATTTTAAGTTTTTTTAAAGCATTCAGCATTGTGCTATGCTGCGAAATTGATAACATTAAACAAGTAAAAAAGCAGACCATATGAATGGTCTCCGCCCTCCTATTCCACTCTGCCCACACACCATTCTCAAACCTTCACGTTTTCACTTAATTCATTTTTATTTTTCAGTTTTGTGCTACAATGCAAAAGTGATGACATGTAAAAAATAAAAATGAAAAACCAGGAACAGCTAAGTCCCCAAAGAAACTAAATGCAAGTGGCAGTGAGTCATGTGGAATGGAGACTGACAGGTAGAGAAATGGCAGTAAGGACAAGTCATGAAATGAGGTGTACCCACAAAGTGCACAGGTCACCACACATCATCTTGGCCTTAGTGTCCACATGTACAGACTCTGCAGTGCAGCAATTCAGAGCAAAAATATACTACCACCCAGCAATGGTGTAAATAAAATGCTGGAAAACAGGTATTTCCCCTGACTTTGATTCTGCTGACACTAGTTTCAGCCTTGTGTTGTGTGGACCCTGCAGTGCAGTACTGTATCAAAAGGGCAAAGACATCTGAACAAATATTTTGTGTGGGAAGGCTTTAAAATAAACAAATTGCTTGTTCAAATGGACTTCGGGGACTTGATCCAGTTGTTAATTAACCCAACGTAGTGAATGTTTCAAAACTTGGTTTAAAATTCTGAGAAAAGGAATGATTATCAGCTGGGCATCTCCAACTTTTGGAACAGAAAATCAATTTTCTCCCATTAAATTTGTGAGACATGGAGTAAATATATTTCCCTAAAATATCTTCTCTATTGTTGATTTTTGTTCTGTAGTATGTAGAGGGACCTGAGTTCTTCTTAATTAATAGATTTATAATATTTATAGCACATTCTGTTTGTGCTCTGACATTCAAAACAGTGCTCTACTCATGCAATGCAAACATATTGATGAAAGGGGTCTACGGAGATTTGTGTCATTATAAATAAATGACAAAATGATACTTGCTCCTTACAGTATAAAACCAAAATTTAACTATTGGGGCATTGTAGAACTCATATATCTTGCGTCCAAAAGGGATCCATCTGTGTCTGTTCTGAACTTCCTCTTCTTCCTTCTTTCGTGATGATGACTCTCCATTGCTACGTCCCAACATTGCCTACAATAGAAAAAAATTAACATAAACAGCTATAGTAGATTACTCTACAATTGTCAAATGTGGTTGCACTGGATCAAGTGATGAGACAGCACCCAACAAAAATATATACACACTACTTTCAGTCTTATACTAAGAATCAGGTCACCTCACCTCAACTAAGCACTTTGGGAAATAGTACATGTAAAGTCATTTATAACACTGACTGCATCTTCAAATGTTGCATCAGAACCATACCAACATCAACACAAATATAAATACAACCCATGAATCTCTTCCATAAATCTCTTCTCTTGTAGAACAGCTTTCTATTGCTTCTGTAGGCCAGAATACAACAAACTGAAGTATTACAGAACAGTGGTGATCCTGGGGATGGGAAAAAACATTCAGGAAAGTGGTCTCTGAAGATAATGGGAATGGTAGGTACTTCTCTTCTCTTTATTAGCATCTCATTCAGATTCTGCCAGCAAGCACAATCATAGAATCATAGAAATGTGAAGCTGGAAGAGGCCTACCAGGCCATCAGATCCAACCCCCTGCTCTATGCAGGAATACCAGTTCTTTCAACCTTTCCTCATAAGGCTTGGTTTCCAGCCCCCTAATCATCCTTGTTGCCCTCCTCTGAACTTGTTCCAATTTGTTAGCAAAAGCAGTGACATTCCTTCAGATTTCACAGAGAACAAAGTTGCTCAATAAAACAACATGATAGATAAGGGCAAACAGAGTGATTACATTGAATTCTAGGTTTTAAATGCAGAGTTACAGTGTCAAATGTTAGGGAATTTTGAAATGTCCATCAGCAAGTAAAGGGCAGCAAGCAGGCATACTTTTAATTGTGGTGCTACAGAGCATTTGCCTACATTTTTCCATATTTCAAGTGTCATGTTAATTAAGTCTGTTTTGCTAATGAGTCTTTATTTCTGGCATTCTTTTTATACCTGCTCCAAAATAAGCCCTACCGTTTTTAAGTGTCTATAAGACAGTACCTCAAACTTTTCAAAAACTGCATTTTTCCTATAAAGATACAGTTAATTGATGGGCAGTTTGTAACCATCCAGAGGTTGTTGGACTGCAATAGTATTAGCAATATTAAAGTTTTTAGTATCTTAGGATCCACAGGAATCGTCGTGTCTTCTCTAAGTGTAGCTAGATCCACCTCTCTTGTGATTTGATTATATAAATCTAAGACTGCAACCCTACACACAAAACACTAAACACAGAAGACAACCTCATCAGTCAGTTAAGAAGCATAGATCATTACTACAAAATTCTGAACATAACTAATTTTGGAAACAAAGCAGAATCAGGATTGATATTTGTGGGATGGAAGACCATCAGAAAACATGAAAGAATCTCCAATTAAGACTGGCTGTCTGAAATCTTTGGGGGCTCTTGGCATTTTTTAAAATTTGTCTCAGATTTTGTTGGGGAAGGTTGAGTTTGGAGCCCAGTTTGTTCTGTTTTCCATTTTCCAAGATCAGAGCTTCCAGATCAGAATCTTTCAGTTATTCAGTTAGGATCAATAAGAAGAGAAAAACTTCAGAAGAGAAGCTCCAACAGGGAACTAGGCTTCCCCAATCTGCCAAATATTTTTCAAATTATTTCAACATATTGGAGTTCATTCCTGTTCTCTGATTGCACGTTCCAATTAGGTCTCAGGTACAACAGATGCACATGCACACGCACACGCGCATACGCACGCACACACGCTCACACACAGAGAGGTCTAGCAGGAAATTGGAATTTCTAACATTTGTTTGTTTGCATGCGCACACACACACACATGCACACATGGACACAGAGGTCTAGCAGGAAATTGGATTTTCTAACATTTGTTTGTTTAGACTTTCAAGATTTTCTTGGGAGACAAGAGGCTTTATAGAAGTGAATATTAAAAGTTAAGTTTGGACACACATCTATAAAGTCCCATATTCTTTCATAATGAACAGGGACAAACCAGGGTGGGAGAGTGCAGCTTTTGCCCTATCTGGTCGAGCCCTGTCATCATTCTGACCCAACTGAATAACAGTGTTACGAGACAGTTGCAGTCCATGCTACTGGACAAGCCCACATTCTTTCCTGAAGTCCCTGCCCGCACTGGATGATGTCAGATGCTGTTGATGTGAGCCGTTATGAAAGGACGAACTCCCTTTCGGCACTACTAAGGACAAGTTGTCAGGATCATGTCATTTGCTGAGCACTTCTAAATGAGTATAAACCAAAAATAAAAATAATACAGGGGAAAAAAGGGAGGAAAAAAAAGTTGGTGTGGAAGCATTGAATTAAAAAGAAGAAATGATCCAGTTGATTGGTGAATCAATATATGGTGACTGCTATTATACTCTATGTAACAGATAATATAATCAGTTTTTTGCATTTTGAGGTTTGCATTTATATAGGGAACTGCAGAACCAAATCACTAGTCATTAAATGGGTCTTTATAAGGGGAGTGACTAGCATCAAGCTATCAGTCTATCATTTCTTTTGCCTGAAAGTTTCGGTAGGTATAGAAAGCTTATCAACTCTGTCAGTGAATACATGACCTAGAAAGCAGCATAACACAAAGTATCTCTTTATTAATTTATGCCATGGAAGAAGAAAAATACTTTTGAAAGAAAGAACTGCAAAACCAATTGAAGAAAGCTATGAGAGACTGGAAAGGTGTTATTTCGAATAAATAATTAAACTTTCTGCCAAATTACTGTGCTGGCGTGGTATCAGAAGCACATCCTAATCTGCAGCACAGAACTTTGTTTCACAGGGTCCATCAAAGAGAAGCTAGTGTTCACTGTGGTTCCACCTCTGGGCTGAATAGATCTTTGGTAAACGTCTACTGCTCAGGTGAAAAACAAGGAGAGCTCAGAAAATACCCCGATCTGTAGCAAGATGAAAGTTATCTGATGTATTGAATCATGCTTGTTATTAGTATCAAAGCAAGCCTATTTCCTATTATAGCTGACTTTGACATACGACATTTAAATTGGATTCTATGTTTGGGTCTCATCAGGTAAACTATGCATTGGCTGGTCTTCATGGGTGGGCAAGAACTCAGCTTGCTCTGGATCCAATGATGAACAATCTCAATGCAGTAACTCGTTATTTACTGAGTGCCCTTGGGACAATTTCACCCAGTCTACCTATATATGCTCCCTCCCTCTCTCTCCCTCCCTCTCTCTCTCTCTCTCTCTCTCTCTCTGTGTGTGTGTGTGTGTGTACATCCCCTGATCCTTACACACACACACTTATTACTGTGTGTAAATAAGAACAGGTTTATATGTTGCACAGCGGTGGATGCATGAGTGATAAGCATAGGCTAGGATGATTGGCAGATGAGTGGTAGAATGTTGAGTGCAGGGCTGAATGCTGATTGGTTGGTGTATTTGGAAATGTGATGAAAAGTAGCGGTTAGGTGGAGGGAGCCAGTTAGGCTGCAAAATGTTTCCAAGTTCCTCCTTGTGAATTTTGACTCTTTTTGTGTGTGGGTGTGTGTGTGTGTTCAGATGACATACAGGCATTACCAATTCTTTTGTTCCCCCTCTGTGCTCGCTCCACATCAAATCCAGCCTGCTGGGAGACTACTACTATTTTTGTTCTGCATTTCATCATACATTACTAACTGCAGTCCATGGAGTGTGTACTCCTAAATTGATTTATTTCCTGTATATCTGGCGGGCAGGTCCATATCTTCCAACAGCTGCAGTCTGACTTCTTTTTTTAAAAAACACAATTTTCAAAGTGGCATGTCAGTGCATTGGTATGCTTCTGTCAAACAGGGTTTGACACACTTGAGGATTTTAAAGGGAAAGGGAGAAGGGGGGCGATAGGGGAAACTGAAGGAGAAAGTTGAAGGCTATCCAAGAAGTGGAGGGGACAGGTATAATATTAGGACACTCCCCCAAAGTCTTCCAGGAATGGCTGAAAAGGAAGCATGTGGAGCATCAGTCCCCCTACTGCAGTGGTTCCCAAACTTTTTCCACTCGCAGCTCCTCTGAGTGGTAGCAGCAGTGGAGGTAGAGCAGGGGGATTGGTGAGGGGTGTGGGGCAGAACAGGAAGCAAAGAACACGAAGGAGCCGAAGCTGGAGCCAGAAGAGCATCATCAGCAGCAACATGCTGGTGAAAAAGCAAAAGTTTTAGTGTTGCTCCTGGCTGGCTTGGAGCAGGGTGATTGGTGAGGGATGCGGGTCAGAACAGGAAGCAAAGAAACATGAAGGAGCCGAAGCTGGAGCCGGAAGAGCAGCAGCAGCAACATGCTGGTGAAAAAACAGAAATTTTAGTGTTGCTCCTGGCTGGCTTAGTGGCACCCCAGGGAGCCGCAGGGTGCCATGAGGGGCCAACAAGGGTGTTTTGCCAACATAGCAATGTACTTAAACAATTTTTTTAAATGGGTGAAAGGCGGCAGAGAAAAGTATTAAGGGGAAATGTCCAGCTTGAGAAGGGTGTAGATGAATGTACCACAGCTAATTTACCCTTTAGAAGGTGGAATGGTTAAAAAGGCATGAACCACTATCACAGGATATATGCTTTGTGACCACAACACACAACTACACAGGAACCAGAAGACATGAGAAAGAAGGGGGGCATTTCTCTAGTGAGTTTACCTTAGTGAGTTTGCTCTCTCTCTCTCTCTCTCTCTCTCTCTCTCTCTCTCTCTCTCTCACACACACACACACACACACACACACACACAGAGTTTTATCCTTTATCTCAAATGCCTGAGAAATTGCTTTTTCTTTTATTCCATATTCTTGCATTTCCCAAACAAATTCCTTTGGTTTTCCTCTGAATAAAACTTATCATTTATTTATAGGTGTAACTAAGAAATATATTTAGCAGTCTAGAATTACTGAACCAGAAGAACAAAAAGAGGTTATACCACCAAGAGCTTTTCACTCAGCAACCAAATATAATATAGGCACCACTGGCTAGATGGCACAGTTAAAGGGGCAGCACCAAATATTTTGGAGAGGTATGGGTGTGCTTGTCCTTGGGCTAATGTTTAACC